AAACACATTTTAGGTAAGTATTCCTTAAAGCTGCACTATGTAACTTTTCTGTGGGTTCGACATTGGCTTGTTTCTATGAAGATATTGCGTTACATGTAATATTCCACAGTACGACAATCATGTGTCATTTATTTAATCACAGGTGTTTTAATGGGGACAAATGGGAGCATTTTTACTGTGAGTCTGTGTCAGGGAAATTCCAACGCAAATAACATCTTCCATGGCCCCTGTTCAAATCTCAAGTCTCCATGGAGACAAGAAGATCAAATCTTTATTTGTACAGCACTTTTCATACATTTGAAATGCAGCACAAAAGGCTTCACACGCAACAGAACAATTACAACGATTATACCAAAGACGGCCCCCTGCTGTTCCTCCCATATATACAGCAATTACACAGAGAGAATAAAACAGAAAACTCCTAACTAAAGGTTATAGTAAGAAAAATCAAGTATTCAAATTAGACAAAAATATGATTTTTAATCATATTTTTTATGTTTTAATCAAAGGTTAAACTAAAAGGCAGATAGTTCTGATTGTACTTTTAATCATGAACACTGGCTGTGGTCCTCAGGTCCTGATGTGGACTGTTCCACAGACGAGGGCTGTAAAAACTGAACGACCTCACAGTGAGTTTTCCTCTGGACTCTTGGGACAGCTAAAGAAGATGACCTGAGGACTTGAGGGTCTGAGAGGGCTCATATGAGAAAAACAGATCAGGTAAATAAATAGGACCTGGGCCGTTAAGAGCTTTATAAACCAATAAAAGTATTTTAAGTCTCTCCTGGAGCTCACAGGAGGACACTGCACAGACCTGAGGAGGGAGGGATGTGCTGACTCCATCTGGTCCTCGTCTGGTGTCGCGCCGCAGAGTTTGGTAGGTGAGGATGATGAAGATGATGAAGATGATGGACCCTTACACAGTGCATCTTTAACCATAACATACATGAGATATACCGTATATTTTAATTGTTTTCCTTGCATGAAAAATAACTCCCATGTGCTGGCGTCTTTCTTCTTGAAATGAACTCTGCTCCACATTAAGCCCGGGCCCACAGAACTGAACTAATGAAGTTGTCCGGTCGAATCGCGTGTTCCTCTTCATCTCTGCGCATACATCAGGCTAATGACACAGCCTTAACTCCATTTCGCGTCTCACGGCCCATGTTCCCCTCTCGTCCTCTGACACAAGATAAATCTGCAGAGGACTCCTGGTATTTAAAAGCAGCCCATTTTTCATTCATGGCTGGGCTAAAACCTATCCGCACTCAATTAGCAACTTGTTAGTCAATTAAACAGAAGTGACACTTGCAGAGGAAGTTTGAGCGAAGAAATGAACAGCTCAGTCAATTCATTAAAAGTTTGCGTGAGGACACCGAGATCGGAGGCTTTTCTACCAAGAATTTAAATCGACTCAAATGCTTTATGGGGCTTTTATTTGAGATATAGATATGTTATTTTTGATCAAGGTTTTGCTGTTTTAAAATTGCTCTCTTAAGTGATCAAAAGTCAAATCCCAGAACAAGCTCTAATAGACTTTCCTCTTAAAACGAACCCAACTCGAGGAGGTTTACATGGATTACATTGTCAGCGGCAGTATAAAGATTTCTTCCTCTTTCTTCGTTCTATCGATCACAGAGCGTCCGTATGTTGGCGAGATAAGACCGAGCTCATACCTCACCTCCTCTGGGCGCCCTGCTGCAAACCCTCCCCCCCCCTTTGCTTTATCTTTTGTCACAACGGCAGAATGGATTATTGTAGAAAATAGTGGTCCAATTGCGAGCTATGACGGCTCCTGTGATGTTTTTACCGCCTCAACAGCCTCATATCTTTTAAAAGAGCGCCCATGAATCATACACCCGCTTTGTTTACTCCGCAGAACAAAGTCAAAAGGGCTTAAAATAGTGTGAAAGACTTTGGGAAACCTCAAAGCTGGTAAAGGATGAGCGTGTGTCGGAGAGAGTTTGTAGAGCTTTCTCTTTTTCGTTTTACGTGTTTGGAGTTACCGACAAATATCCTGTTTCCTAGTACTTTTGTTTATTTTTTAAAGGTCCTATATTGAGCAAAATTGACTCTTGTGAGCTTTTAGAATGTTGTTACCTCATCAAAAACAGACCTGGAGTTGTGTTGTGTCTAGGCCAGTAATGATAAGAAGAAACAAATTATTGCGATAAGCGATAATACTGACATTTTGAGACAATTTTCAACCACTGGCAATGGAATAAAAATGTCAATACACCCTCTCAAAGATCAGTAAACTTTCTAAAGAACATTTAACACAGGAACAGGAACTGCAAGACAACCAAAAACAATAGGCCTAAATAAAATAGACCTGATAACATAAGAACAGCCTAATGTAGTCTGGCTTACAGCAAGGACTTGTTAAACTGAACAGAATCAAAACAATAAATAAAATGGATTATGGCTCCTCTCTCTGTGGCTGCTGCTTTGAGCCTCGTCATTTTGGTCTTGAAGTGTTCGTATTAACCCGCCACACAGGATCGTATTTCGCTCTGAGGGAGCTGCTGTCCGAGCTGGAATAGTGTTGGTGTCTTGTGGGATTTCAGAGGATTTCGGCCTCTCCCGGGGGCCAAGGGGGCTAATTGTGTCCGTTAGGTATGGGTGTATGTCAGCTGGTGGGGTTTGATAGCCACACCGGCACCACCTAGTGCCTCCGCTCAATTTCATTTCTCTCCAGTGACGAGGTCAGGAATCGGAATACAGTAGACAGTTTGCAAGAACCCCGGAAGTGCGAGTCCGCGCACAAGCCAATCAGTGAAGAGACATATATTCTGTGTTGGCAACGATTCCCGAGATCGAGGATTTAAAGCTGGAACAAAGAGAATGTTTGGTGAATTTTATCAAGGGGGAAAGACGTTATTGTCCTTCTTCCTATGGGATTTGGGAAAAGCTTAATATACCAGTTATCCTCGTTAGTGGTGCGTTACGTACGTCACGACTAAATAGTAATGACTGGTTAAATAAAAAAAAGTTCCCGCCTACTATTGAGCAAACGAATCCTAATGTTGCAACATCAGACGGTTTCTACAAAATGAAGGGGTTTGAGCCATTTCTTCTCGTTGTTTGTGCACTCGCTGACGCATGTGTGCCACTAAAACGTGTCTCACTCACTAGTGTTGATTTGGGCATCATGATTGTGTTGTGGTAAACGGATAACTGCCGTTTCCCGTTTCCGTGACTTAAACTGCGATGCAGAATTTTTGCTCGGCATATGGACTGAACCAGAACTGAACCAGGACAGATCCAGGACTAAACCAGGACTAAACCAGGGCTAAACCAGGACTGAGTGTCAGTATTGGCCCGGAGGTGTGCCCGAGTAGACTGTCGAGTGATCAGAACAGAGACCGGGACCGGACCAGGACTGAGACAGGAACCAGACCAGGACTGAGAGCGGAACCAGCCTAAGACCAGGACCAGACCAGGACTAAGACCAGAACAGCGACCAGGACCAGACCATAATTGAGACCAGGACCAGACCAGGACCAGCATCACACACGGGAAACAGCTGTTATCCGTTTTTTTCCATTATTCATTTAAACACAAAATCAAAAACTGAAAAAAAAAAATAATAATCCTTATCCGTTTTTTCATTTCGGTGTTGGAGACAAATAACGAAGAAAATTGTTTGTTTTTTTCATTTTCTTATTTTTGGTTTTATTTTGAAAAACAATTGAACAAATGATACACAGATTTCTATCAGATGTTTATTTTTAAAAGCCAATTGAAATCCATGTCTGAGAGTCTCTTGACCTATGAGTACCTAATTTACCAACATTAATAAGGCACTCATGCACACACCACGTTCACACACAGGCAAGTACGTACAATTTGAACCTGTGACCTTGAAATTAGTGGACGAGCAATCTAACCATCACCGCTGAGTCACTGCTGCCCCGAAGATTCAATATACAGTATGTTATAATGTTGTTTCCTCGTCACAAACAGACCTGGAGTTGTGTTTTTTTTTTCGTTCACTGTTGATTGTTTCATTCTGATGTCATGTGGAAATACAGGAAGTGCTCCACTCTGTTTTTAAACTCCACACACCTTCAGTAGAATCATGTGGCTGATTTCAGTCCTGGAATTGCCATTTCTACTGAACTATAAAATGTAGATGTTAACTTGAAAACTACAGCTTCATGACATCACAAGGTGGAACGGAGCATTTTGATGTAGACAGACTAATAATAAAGTGTTACTCAAACATGTGTGAATGAAACAAAACACAACTCCAAGTAGGACTGCTCGATCATGGAAAAAATTCCGATTATTTTTGGTCAATATGGAAATCACGATTATTTTTTTGTTGCACAATGCATTTATTCAGCATTTCTCTCTCAAAAAAAGCACTTTGTTATTGATAATTCACACAAAAACTTTCAAATTGAAAATAAATATAGACTAGAAATATGAACCTTAGAGCAATTTTGTGATGTATAAAACATAAAATGAATCAAAAATATACTTTGAACATGGAATAAGGCCTAGAAAAAACAAAATAAACTATATATCTTAACTCCAGGTATATTTTTGAGGAGGTACCAACATTATAACATGGCTTAACGCTCACAAGAGTCAATTTTGCGTAATATATGACCTTTAAATAATCTTAAAAACAATAAACATGTTTTCAGCACAACACATAAAAAGCTTTTGTAATCTCTGAGATCAACAAAACCACAAATTTAAACTCTAATATGCATTCTTTCATGATACATAAACAAAAATACACATGTCTATATTAAAGGACTATTCAATTCGAATCTAAATCAGCCTCAAATTTCTCTCTGAATCCCAAATTGCTGTGCAGCTCTCGTGCACAGATCTGACCTAGTTGGTGTTTTCAGACCTTGTGTTGTTGTTTACGTAGAGCGCCGGAATACCAATGGAGTTCTAATTGCTCCGTGCGTATCGGGCCAGTCAGGCGGCTTCTGTTTGCCTCCAGGAGCGCGAGGTGTGTCGGCGGCTAATATCGCAATCTATATTTCACGGAGGTTCCTCTTGTTTAGTCCCTGGGCACAGGCAGGGGCACGGGCAGGGGCAGGGGCAGGGGTGGAGGCAGGCGCAGAACCAGGGGCAGGGGTAAAAGCAAGGGTAGAGGTAGAGACAGAGGCAGAAGTAGAAGTAGAGGCAGAAGTAGAGGTAGAGGCAGAAGTAGGAGTAGAAACAGGGGTAGAAACAGAAGTGGGGGTATAAGTAGAGGCAGGGGCAGAAGTAGAGGTAGAGGCAGAAGTAGAAGTAGAGGCAGGGGCAGAAGTAGGGGTAGAGGCAGAAGTAGGGATAGAAGTAGAGGCAGGGGCAGGAGTAGAAGTAGAGGCAGAAGTAGGGGTAGAAGCAGGGGTAGAGGTAGAAGTAGAGGTAGAGGCAGAAGTAGGGGTAGAAGTAGAGGCAGGGGCAGGAGTAGAAGTAGAGACAGACGTAGAGGTAGAGGCAGGGGCAGAAGTAGAGGTAGAGGGAGGGGCAGAAGTAGAGGTAGAGGCAGGGGCAGAAGTAGGGGTAGAAGCAGGGGTAGAGGCAGAAGTAGGGGTAGAAGTAGAAGCAGGGGCAGGAGTAGAAGTAGAGACAGAAGTAGAGGTAGAGACAGGGGCAGAAGTAGAGGTAGAGACAGAAGTAGAGGTAGAGGTAGAGGTAGGGGCAGTAGTAGAGGTAGAGGCAGAAGTAGGGGTAGAAGTAGAGGCAGGGGCAGAAGTAGAAGTAGAGACAGAAGTAGAGGTAGAGACAGGGGCAGGAGTAGAGGTAGAGGGAGGGGCAGAAGTAGAGGTAGAGGCAGGGGCAGAAGTAGAAGTAGAGACAGAAGTAGAGGTAGAGACAGGGGCAGAAGTAGAGGTAAAGACAGGGGCAGGAGTAGAAGTAGAGACAGAAGTAGTGGTAGAGGCACAGGCAATAGTAGAGGCAGAAGTAGAGGTAGAAGCAGGGGTAGAATTAGAAGTAGAGGCAGGGGCAGAAGTAGAAAGGGCAGGGGCAGAAGTAGAGGCAGGGGCAGAAGTAGAAGCAGAGACAGAAGTAGAGGTAGAGGTAGGGACAGTAGTAGAGGTAGAGGTAGGGGCAGTAGTAGAGGTAGAGGCAGAAGTAGGGGTAGAAGTAGAGGCAGGGGCAAAAGTAGAGGTAAAGACAGGGGCAGGAGTAGAAGTAGAGACAGAAGTAGTGGTAGAGGCCGGGGCAGTAGTAGAGGTAGAGGCAGAAGTTGAGGTAAAAGCAGGGGTAGAATTAGAGGTAGAGGCAGAAGTAGGGGTAGAAGCAGGGGTAGAGGCAGAAGTAGGGGTAGACGTAGAGGCAGGGGCAGGAGTAGAAGTAGAGACAGAAGTAGAGGTAGAGGCAGGGGCAGGAGTAGAAGTAGAGACAGAAGTAGTGGTAGAGGCATGGGCAATAGTAGAGGTAGAGGCAGAAGTAGGGGTAGAAGTAGAGGCAGGGGCAGGAGTAGAAGTAGAGACAGAAGTAGAGGTAGAGGCAGGGGCAAGAGTAGAGGCAGGGGCAGAGGTAGAGGCAGAAGTAGAAGCAGGGGTAGAAGTAGAGGTAGAGGCATTACAGTTGTAAGTATTACTCAAAAATACCTTGAAAAACATGCATTACTGAGCAGGCTCGCCTCTCCACAGATCTGTTAAAGAAGTGGCAAAATCTGTCTTTGCATTTATTCAATAACTGGTGTCTCTGTTGCTTCAAAAAACACGCTCAACAACGTGCCTCTCCACGGATCTGACCTGTAACTTGCTCTGGTTCTGCTACGGCCTGTCTTCGTAGAAATTAGACCAGTTTAATGCCATATTGTTGAGGATTTCGGGCGAAGAAATAGCCTCTCCATGGAATAAAAAAAGTGACAAAGTGCTTCTTTAAAGATATTGTACCCAAGTTTGCCCATTCTCAAACGGCAACAATGATAGAAAGCAGAATTATCCACGGCCCCAGCTCGGACAGACCTCTCTGAACATCGGGACAATGGTTTCAAAGGTGGACGTCGACGAGGTTTTGAATTCTAGACTTTTCAAATATATTCAAAAATCTTTCCCAACTCTGAAAATCATGAACTGAGAACTTTTTTTTTTTTTTTTTTTACAACTTTGGGACTATGAAATGGAGTTTACAGTGCAGTTACCTGTTTTGGCTGGTGAAAAGGGGAAACCAGCCCAACACCACCAATGTACCGAGTCTGAAATCGATAGAAATGATTTGAGGTTTGAGCAGAGAAATTGTTTGAACATATTACTGCTTTTGCAACTTAATCTCTTGGAAAACTACATGATAAAATGGTTAAGTACAAGTCAGTTCAACGCTGTAACTAATCTAACGTTTTGGTTCCAGTTAGGTCAGGTTAAAGGTGCATTGTGTAACTTTTCTGGTGGATGGTCCGTCAGATATCTTAATGGAAACCAATCCAGACTAATTTACAGGTCAGATCTGTGGAGAGGCGACCCCGCTCACAGTCAGAATGCCTGTTTTTCTAGGTATTTTTGAGCTATAAAACCATCTGTAATTGAGTAAATGCAAGGTTTAAAGTCATACTGTGGAACATTCCAGGCAGAGTATTGATTTGGAAGATATCCACAGAAACAGGCAGGTGATGGACACACAACCTGCACTATGTAACTTTTAAGTTTGAGGGTTCCACATATTGCATTTAACTTATCAGCATGGAGACAAGCAGGTGACACCATCGGACTAGTTACAGGTCAGATCTGTGGAGAGCTGACCTGCGCTCACTGTAAGAATTTTTGCTTTCAATGTTTTTTTTAGAGATGCTCTGATACAGCTTTTTCAGTTCCAATAACGATTTTAATACTATAGCTTTACATCTGCCGATATCGACGGATACCAGTGCAAGATTGACAACAACATTTATTTCCCCTAAACTAAAAAACTAAAATAAAATCCAAATATGTTATGTATGTGTTATGTATCTCTCAAGTGACAACAATTTCAGATAAATTTAAATTCAAAGACTTTCTGGGCCGATGGATCATCTTATTCCATCAATGTATATGTCCAGTTGGTGGATCGGTGCAGAGTTGGCAGTGACTGTATCGGACCGTTGTGTGAAGAGGGAGATGAGCCAAATCTCTCAATTTTGCCGTCAGTCTTTGTTCCTCCCCTCACCTATGTCATGAGGTTTGGGTAATGACCAAAAGGATCGTGGAAGATCGTGGATACAAGTGACTGAAATAAGTTCCTCTGCAGGGTGGCTGGGCTCTACCTTACAGACAATGTGATTTGATTTGATTTTATTAGGATCCCCATTAGCTGATGTCCGTGACACCAGCTACTCTTCCTGAGGTCCACATACTCTTCCTGGGGTCCACATACTCTTCCTGGGGTCCACACACTCTTCCTGGGGTCCACACACTCTTCCTGGGGTCCACACACTCTTCCTGGGGTCCACACACTCTTCCTGGGGTCCACACACTCTTCCTGGGGTCCACACACTCTTCCTGGGGTCCACACACTCTTCCTGAGGTCCACACACTCTTCCTGAGGTCCACATACTCTTCCTGGGGTCCTCATACTCTTCCTGGGGTCCACATACTTTTCCTGGGGTCCACATACTCTTCCTGGGGTCCACACACTCTTCCTGGGGTCCACAAACTCTTCCTGAGGTCCACATACTCTTCCTGGGGTCCTCATACTCTTCCTGGGGTCCACATACTCTTCCTGGGGTCCACATACTCTTCCTGGGGTCCACATACTCTTCCTGGGGTCCACACACTCTTCCTGGGGTCCACAAACTCTTCCTGAGGTCCACATACTCTTCCTGGGGTCCTCATACTCTTCCTGGGGTCCTCATACTCTTCCTGGGGTCCACACACTCTTCCTGGGGTCCACAAACTCTTCCTGAGGTCCACAAACTCTTCCTGAGGTCCACATACTCTTCCTGGGGTCCACAAACTCTTCCTGAGGTCCACATACTCTTCCTGGGGTCCACATAGGGTGAGGAGTTCAGTCACCTGGGAGAAGCTCAGAGTAGACCCGCTGCTCCTCCACGTTGAGAGAAGCAGCTGAGACCTGGGCGCCTCTCTCGGGAGGTGTTCCGGGCATGTTGGACCAGGACTAGGCCCCGGGGAAGACCCAGGACTCGCTGGAGGGACTATGTCTTTGGGCTGGCCTGGGAACACCTTGGGGTCCCCTCAGAAGAGCTGGAGGAAGTGTCCGGGATGAAGGAAGTCTGGGAGTCACTGCTTAGACTGCTGCCCTCGCGACCCAGCCCTGGATAAGAGGAAGAAAATGGATGGTATTTGTCCAACCATTATGTCGGCCGAATCAATATTTAGACGCCGATATCTGATCTAGCTAATTTTTAGATTTTTTTTTTTTATTGCTGCATCTATAATATTTTTGATTCATAAAAACACCTGTAATTGAGTGAATGAATGATAGATACATTTAATGCCGTACATGATAACATTCTAACTAAAGCAACAACATCCCCATAGAAACAAGTAGAAAGTGAACCCCACGCCTGAACAGTTACTTCGTGCACCTTTAAGTTTGGACTTTTGGTTTGTTTTGAGTGGAGTTTTGTACCAAAAGTTTGAGAGTCTGAGCTCTGCGGCAAACTTCACCCCTATAAAAACAAGTCAAAACCTCAAAGCACTTTTATGATCCTCATATTCTGGTTTTCTCGCCGTCACAACACTCGAATAAAAAGGCTGAAATGCTGTTGATTAGCGTTGTCTGCGTCGCCCGGTGCTTATGCGTAATCCCTAATGACAGAGAATAAACAAAGACGCTAAAATGTATTGTAGGGGAGAGCGTCTGACCTATATAGCCCTCGCACACTCTGAGGAACACATGAGGACAAATGCGCGTGGATTTGTCTCAGCTCTCTGCTCCTAATGCTGCCATATATCACCAAGTTAGACAACCACATCAACTACATGTACTGAAAAGGTGCATACAGAGGAAGACGAAGAAGAAGAAGTCACCGAATGCAGTCTTAAAGGACCAAATATTATGCTATTTTCTGAGCTATGTTATAATGTTGTTTCCTCATCAAAAACAAACTCGCAGTTGAGTTTTGATTTATTCACACGTTTAACACACGAACCTGCATATTTAGGCTGAGTTCTCCTCTCAAACAAAGACAAAACAGTTCCACTTTTTGATATCATGTGGTAATCAGAGTGCATCATTTTAGCCAGGCTGGCGCCATCTAGTGCCTCCACTCAATTTCATTTCTCTCCAGCGATTAGGTCAGGAATCGTATACACTAGATGGTTCACACAAACCTCAGAAGTGCAAGTTCGGGCACCAGCCAATCAGCAAAGAGTTGGAATTAGTTTTTCTCAAATAACTTTAAAAATAATGTTGATACACCTCCATATTTACATTCAACTTCCACTGATACGATAGGCCTAAATTAATTAAATTAATTAATTAATTATTTTTGATGTTATTAAAGAAAAACAGATTTTTCAGCTCAGGTTTAAGGCTTCTGCAGGCACTAAACTTCAGAGGCTTGGTGGACCCAGTACACAGCAAGAGAATTTCTTGAAATTTCTCATGGAATTTTACTTTGGCAAGTGTAAAAAGTTGATACTAGGTGCAGATTGAGTTTACATTTTTTTCAAAAAGTTGGGCAAATGATGCACCCTAATGATAATACAGGATGCGCTTCACTGTGTTTTTAAACTCCACACCTTCACTAGACTCATTTGGATAATTTCAATAGTTTCAAAACCGGAACACATGTGGACGACGACTGCCCATGGGCTCTGTTGGCAATAGTAACTCTGGTCCAGTTTTCTCAGTTCCTTTTATAAACTGCCTTTTAAGTTGTGTGTTATAATTTTTCTAACTTCATGAAAAAAATGTGTAATTGTAGTGCTCCGTTCTGCCTGTAAGTGACATTGAAGACGCAATTAGAGTCCTGTCCCACATGAAAAATTTTGGCAGGTTGTGAAGAGGCTGCTGCTGCTGCTGAATCCACGTGATGACACGACTTAAAGCTCAAAGAGACAGTTTCACAAAATATATGACCTCTATGGCAAAAATTAAACTGTGCATGTGTCAACAAAAATATATAATTTGATGAAGCCTATATCAAAATATAACTGTAAAAAAGTATTGGTAAAAAAGTTTGTGGGAGAAGCAGATCTTTTTTTTTGTGTACAGGGCTGGTGCAGATTTAATGACGCTGCCTCTGTCCAGCTGTTTGAAGTTACACTGAGCCAGAGTTACTTTTTGAAACTCTTGAACTTGAAAAACCAGGATTACCCCGTGGTCCATAGTAAAGAGTGTGATCTGTGTCAGTAAAGGAGCCAAGGCCTGAAGCTGTAGGGAGTATTATACTTCTATCTTACATTTTTAGATCACCGTGTTACCTTTTATTATCTTGAAAATACTATATTCACTGAAAATTACATATTAACATGTTTAACCATTTTCACTTTCATTGTTTGATACTCCCTTTGCTCTCTGTACTAAGTCACTCCCCCTTCAGAGCAACATTTTAACATATTTAATAAGTTTCAGTTACATTTTTGATGCTCCCTTTGCTCTCTGTACTAATTCACTCCCCCTTCAGAGCAACATATTAACATGTTTAATGAGTTTCTGTTTCGTTTTTTGATGCTCTGACTCCCCCCTTCCTTTGCTCTCCCTGCTAAATCCCTCCCCTGTCAGAACAACATTTTAACATGTTTAATATGTTTCAGTTTTGTTTTTGATCTTCCCTTTGCCTTCTGTGCTAAGTCACTCCCCCTTCAGAGCAGCATATTAAATTTTTTAAATAAGTTTCTGTGTATTTTTTGTTCCTTCCTTTGCTCTCTGTGCTAAGTCACTCCCCCTTCAGAGCAGCATATTAACATGTTTAATATGTTTCAGTTTCATTATTGATGCTCCCTTTGCTCTCCGTGCTAAGTCAGTCTCCCTTCAGAGCAACATATTAACATGTTTGATCATTTTCTTTTCTTTCTTTTTTTATGCTCCCTTTACTCCCTGCTAAATTACTCCCCCTTCAGACCAACATATTAACATGTTTAATAAGTTTCAGTTTTGTTTTTTGATGCTTCCTTTGCTATTCGTGCTAAGTCACTCCCCGTTCAGAGCAACATATTAACATGTTAAATCCATGTCAGTTTCATTTTTTGATGCTCTGGCTCCCCCTTCCCTTTGCTCTCCGTGCTCAGTCACTCCCCCTTCAGAGCAGTATCACAGTACAATCACAGCACATCGCATCAGGTTTGTGAAGTTGTAGTGTATTGTTTTGTGTCATGCTTTTGTATATTTTTGGACAATTGTCGTGTGGGTGACATAGGCTTGTGGGCGGAGCTTTTCATACAATCTTACAGCTAACCTCAAGAAAAGGAGAGATCACTACATTACTCAAACATGCCTGTATGACATCTGAAACCTCTTTAAGTGTGTTTTTCGTGAGTGAATATTATAACATGGTAAAAAGCTCCACAAAGTAGTAGTTTTTGGGGTTTTTTTGGAAAATACCACCTCTGTAAGTCTTTCTTTTTGTATTCTTGCCAGCACGTTTACGAATTCAAAACTAAATATATCTTTTGAAATAGGAAAAGAGCTCAAAATGGCACCTATATTGAAATGAAATCCACGAATTTTGGGAATTATCACTAAACTGAAGTCTGATTTGTACCAAAGCCGTGTTACTGACAGATTAATTATAGCCAAAAGCGACTCTAGCACCAAATTTTCACCACAAAAAATAAAAAAAAAGATCCGATAAAGGAAAATAGTCTAAATATGCTCGAAAAAATATTGTGCAATGGTGCGTTACAACTGTTGGGCCCATTTTGGTTTCCCATTGTATTTGAACGCATCAGGAGGCTGAACGCTGATATTAATTTTCTCCATCTGTCAATCTTTCTAACATCAAAATTAAGTTCACGCTACGAGGAACCAGAAGAAAAATGCAATAAAGGAAGTCTGGTCAAAACGAATGTAATAAAGAATAAGATTAATAAGGGACATTTTTATTTTACACTTTTATATTACTTAAAAATTATTATTATTATTATTATTATTATTATTATTATTATTATTATTATTATTATTATTATTATTATTAATTTATTTATTTATTTATTTTTTTTATATTATTATTATTTTTTTTTTTTTATATACATTTTGTACACATTTAGACTGTTTTCATTACAGTATTATTTTTGGAAGTGTAGCTGAGTGAAATTTATTTTAGATTGATTTTTACACATTTATTTTTTTTCTTCATCTTCTCATTTGACTACATCTTATTTCTTTTCTTTCTTTCTTTCTTTCTTTCTTTCACCACTTGAGGCTAAAGTCCAGTGCAGTTCACTTCTGTATCGGTTTGTTCAGTTTATTATCGCTCATTTTCAGCTGAAATGAATCAATGTTTCCACAGTTTTTTATCTTGTAAATATAACGATTTGTGTGAAGTAACACCTCCTCCTCGCCCTTCTTCTTCCTTCTCTTCTTCTCCCTCTTCCTCCTCCCCCTCCTCTTCTTCCTCTTCCTCTCCCTCCCTCATTTTCTCATCCTCGTTCTCCTTCTTTTCCTCCTCCTCTCCCTCCTCTTCTTCCCTCTCCTCTTCCTTTTCTTCTTCCTCCCTCTTCTCCTCATACTCTTTCTCTTCCTCTCCCTCCTTTTCTTCCTCCTCTTTTCCCTCCTCTTCTTCCTTC